GGACCTGTTGGAGCGGGTCCAGAGGAGGGTCACAAAAATGCTCAGGGGGATAGAACACCTCTCCTGTGAAGAAAGGCTGAGAGAGTTGGGGTTGTTCAGCCTAGAGAAGAGAAGGCTTTGGGGAGACCTTTTTTTTCAGCAAGACACAGCAACAAAGGCAGCAAGTCGTCTTTGTGAATTCATTGAGGAAAACCAGCACATTTGGAGGACACAGGCTTATGCCTGTAACTTAGACCTTGGTCTCTGAAATCTGAGGCTGTGTTTTCCTTAGGTTCACTTTTCCCATGAAATGCCTTGAATTTGAACTTCTTAACTGAATTGGGAGGCGCCAGTTACTGATCGTATTAGTCACAGCTGCATGTTCCCAAAGAGTTACCATGTCAACATCTTGTACCCAGGCCTTTGCAGTCAGATCAAATGTCAAAAATCACTGAAGGGTTTTTATGAAAAAAAGTGAAATTGCAGTCAGACAAAAGGGAGAGAGGTGTTAATGCATTGCCTGCAACAGCAGTGAAGTGACCAGCAAACAAGAGAAAGCTGTGCTTGTGAGATCAGCTCATAACTCTTCTCTGAAGTCTTGTTTATGGGGTATAGAGATAGGAAGAAAGAGTTCCTAGTGCCCAAAGAAAGGTGGATAATGCACTTAAGACGTTCATGGCCTGTACTATAGCTACACACGTAGCCCTTTACTACTAGTAAGTAGCTCTTGGAAATGGTCCCTCCAACTGTTGGGAGCTGGACTGAGCTGGTACTCTTCCTGGGTGCCTAGGACACAAGCAGGATCAGGGGAAGGGCTGGGAAGAAAGTAGGGAAGAAGTGGAGGAGAATACAGGTTGGTACTCTAACCCAGCCCTTTGGAAGGAGACTAGTCTTTTGGATGCCATAACGCAAAGGTCGAAAGTTTATTGAAAAACAAGGCCATCCGGGAACTCCTGAGTGTGCATTCATGTGACAGTTCAGAAGTGTATCCAAGGACGATCTAGCAGTGGAGGATGTGGTAAGCCCAGCATGAATGACCTGTTGAACTTAAGGTGTTTCAGAAAGCTTTTGAATTCTTTTTGTTTGCTAGTAGAAACAGTCTGTGGAAAAATTTTTGCTCTGAGGAGTGAAAATTTTTCTTTAAAGCACAAAAGTGTGGTTTTATTTTTCAGCCTGGAGATGCAATCTACCCAAAAGATGAAAATGGAAAAATTATCTACCATGAGACAGACTTATGTGCCACTTGGGAGGTAAGCGAACACAACATCCAACCATATATGCTTTAAAACCACAGATCCTCATTCTCAGTTTTACTTGTGGCCTTCATAAACAGAGCTGAGGCATTTTGACAGGGCAAATGGATCAAATTCTACTAGCTCCATGGATAAATTTTACTTCTGTCCCTAAGGATGTTGCTTCTTGCCATCATTTAATTATTTTTATAATAAGATAAAACATTGTTGAAATATCTGACATCCACATTCCTTCTTTCAGAGAGTGCACTCTACATTTGCTAGTTGAGGTATCTGTAGGTTTGTACCAATCATCTCTCCTCTTTATCAGATCTTTACAGCAGGAGAAAGTTGGAGCCCTAAGAAGTGACTGGATCCTCCTCAAAAAGAGGAAGCTTTTCACCTTCAAGAAAAAACAGAATTTGCCCTAAAGCTCACAATAAAAAAAACCCACAAAAAACAACAACAAAAAAACCAAAACCTTGCCATCAGAACAAGTTCACTCACTTCTGAATTTAATTATCAGATGAGAACGCAAGGTTTTTATGCTAAGAAAACTTGGAGGGAAGTAGCATTTGCCTGAAAGATTGCATCCTAAATTTGTTTGTGATGTGCTCTGGTCCTATAGCCACATGTCTCCTTAAGCCTACTGCCACTTGGCTTCAGGATCTCAGGTGAGGCAGAAAGTGGATTAGCAATCTCCTCACATTCCTGCCTTTCGAAGCCTTGGACACTCTTTAATTCATGGCCAAAGCTGGTCAGCTCTCCTTCTGCACCAGGTCTGCTGCAAAAGCATCACTAATTCAGCCCAGCTCACACCGAGAGAGATAACATGGGCTACTACACACTCCACTTCAGCTTGCACCGTCCAGAGCTGGATAGTTGTGTCCCAGTTTAGCTCTATTCAAGGTGCAGCAGATAAAGATGGAGAATGGGTGAAATTCTGAGTGAAAGTTCAGAGGGGGAGAGAGGCTGGGGCGGGCTTGGGCTTCCCCCTGGCAGCTGAGCCATCCAGGCTGGGTCTCAGGGGGAACGGGGACTTCCACGTTAGCTGTTTATGTTACCCTTGTCTTTGGCTGATGCAGTTCATTCTTCTCTTTCACAGGCTAGTTGCTCAAATGTTGAAAGCAACAGCTGTCTGAACACTTACGTTTTTATCTTCAAGCTGGTGCTTATTGTAAAGGATATATTGTAGCAGGTCACTCTCTTCAGCTAATAAGCCAAGAGAAAAATAGGTAGTGATGAGTGCCTGCAAATAATAGCATCAATCTAAATAAAACTGGCTAAACTCAATCCAGGTAATTTCACTCTCTCAGTATGGTGCTAGCAGGCAAAAATGGCTCCAGATTACTGTATTTGCTGACTTGTCACTGGGTGATACAAAGCATATGAGGCCAACTAGAGGTCATCAAATACATGGTGCCTCTTACCTCCCTGCTTTCAGCTCCTGTGAGACAGAAAGGAGTAACAAAACTGGCAGGAGGGGCATCCAGCTCCACGGTGGGGTCTGCTCTGCCTCAAACAGTCACTGAATCATTTGATGTTTCTGGGAGCAAAGGGGAAGACTGTAGGAAAGGACCCTCTTTCCCCTTAACAACCCAGCAGATGAAGCTAATGAAGACCAGGGCATGTGTTCATATCCAGTATTCATAAGGCTTTCTCAGCTATTAGGATTTGTCTGAAGTGCAGAATATCTAGAATTCCTCTCTCCCCCCTTTTTTTTCTACTTTATACTGTACTGAAGTTTTCTGTGCTGGTTTTGTGATGTGCCTTGCCAGATATTTAAGGGATTTCACTAGAGGCTTCATCTGAAAAACTCGTACAATCACAAGGAATAAATTGACTTATCAGGAAAGCAATCTGTTTTGTTCACTCTCCCTTCTCCAGCTTTGAGGCAGTGCTAAAGCAGCATAAAGTAAGCAAAACTCTTTGAAAGCAGATGTCTGGCACTTAAGTATCTATATCTCAGATTAATCTTTCTGCTCTCCAGACAAATTCTACCCTCACAGGAGGTATAAAACATCAGGGTTTGGTCTGGAAAGTGGGTCTACAGGGGAACGGAGTTTAGAATAGCGGGACGGCACCAGCCCTCATGCTAATAGAGCTGTTAGTTCTGCTGCAGCAAAGGTTTTTCTGCAGTCTCAGGAATGGACCATCTTCCACCTATCTGTAAAATGCATGCTCCAAGGAATCAAGCCAACATGTGGGACTCCACTGGTCTTTGCTTTCTTTGCAGGCTATGGAAGCATGTAAAGATGCAGGCTTGGCAAAGTCTATTGGAGTATCCAATTTCAACCGCAGGCAGCTGGAGATGATCCTGAACAAGCCAGGACTTAAATACAAACCTGTCAGCAACCAGGTATGACTGCAAGCCAAGGGCAGTGCCTGCCACGGTGCCACTGCCCTGTAGGGAACGCAGAGGCAACACGTGGCCTAAGCCGCCATGTGCAGAAAGGTGATGTACGCTTTGCCACAGATGCTGCCCTCCATACTGTCACACTTCTATTTCTAGCTTGAAAATATTACTCATCCTATCTGAGCTAAAGATAAATATTTGAAGGTGCTGGAACGATTGCTTTCCTCAGTTCCTGCTCCAGGACTATAAAACTGGTGCCTCTGTGCCAAAGCTCCATAACAAGGTTGAATGCTGAGTCAATACAGATCTTAAATCTCTGCCATGTACCTTACTTCAAGTCCAAAAAATTCCCGAGACAAACCATTCAGAGCTAACCAGTCCTCAATGAAGCCGTGTCTACCTCAGCTGACACCAAACCAAAACAACCCTAAGTATCAGGGATCCTGAGTCACTCTAAGCTTCCCAAGTTTAAAAGCCATCAGAAGTAACTCCTGAATTTCCTGTACTTGCTCTCTTGTGCCTTTCCTATAAGACATCAGTAAGAATTAGAGAAAAACCTAAATTAAAGGGGAGACCTCATTAAGCGACCAACTTGAGCTGAAGAAGCCCATGAAGATGATAGGCATGTCCAAGTTAAATTAGTAGTGGGGCTCAGAAAAGGTGGTAAGTGGCAGTGACCCATCTGAATGCCCAATACCTTTGACTCTGGCATTTGGCAGCTCACTGCATTTCCTAGAAATCACTGGGAAGCTCTTCTGACTCATCTGGCACAAACGAACATCCACGTTAGCAGTATCAGAGAAGAGGCCAGAGACCAACTGAGACCAACTTCCCACCCTCAGCACGTGGCCTGGAGGGCAGGGATTGACATGGGGCCGGGCAGGGAGGCTGGCCATAGCCTTCATTTCTGTCTTTGGCCTGCAGGGAAAGGCAGCCTGTGAGAGGAGGAAATTCCAGCACCCTTTGCTGGTATTAACATGCCCAGCGGGTGCAAAATGCAATTGCTGTTTCTGGTGTGCCCCTAAGACGGCACTGAGCATTGCTGCTGCTTTCTGGGGTCGAGCAAAACCAGGAAAAAGATTAAGCCCAGCTTAGGGCAGCTAGCCAGCAAGCATAGATGTGCCAGCTAGCTTCAGACTGCCTGCAAACAGTGGTTGCTCTGTCACCTTGTAGACATCCCTTTCCCAGAGACTGAGAACGCAGCCAGAAAATCCCTGCCTGTAAGGGAATGATGCACAGTATTTGCAATGTGGGAGGGCAGAGCTTGTAACAAGGTCATAACCGTTATGGAGATGTCTCACCTTTTACATATCCTCCCCTCACCTTTCTATCTGGGACAGCTTATACCAACACTTCCCCTAAAAACAACATCAGATTAGTCATCCTGAATGCAAGAGGCAGAGAAACAAAGATCTGACCTACATGAGATGGGTTGCCTTCTCAGCCTACTTCTCTAGTGAGCTTCCCTCACCTCCATCCCCCCCACTTATTGCCACCTTTCCACTGGGGGCCAATAAAAATTCCCTGCAGCCAAATTATAATCTCAGATGTTGATCTGCTGTCCACCACCAAAAAAAAAAAAATCCATCATCCAGCAGCGTACAATTAGAACAGTAACCACAGATTGAGTTTCCCTATTCCTTAACTTACATGTATCCTTTCCTGAAAGCATCACCTGGTCTGTAGCTCTCACAAATATCGGGACACCATCTGCTTCTGTACCTGGTCCTGTTGATTAATCATTCTTTCTACATTACTCTTGTAGGTCGAATGCCATCCCTATTTCACCCAACCCAAACTCTTAGAATTTTGCAGACAACACGACATTGTTATTGTTGGGTACAGCCCATTGGGAACCTCAAGGGATGAAACATGGTAAGTCCCCATGTTACTTTCTGATAGAAGGACAATATCCAGGAAAAGAATAATAGTTCTCCACTGCTGGGTCTCTGTGCAAAATGCCTTTTCCCCCATTTTTCAAAGTAGTTTTGAACTTCAGTGTCTAAATATTACTGTTGTGAATGTAAACTTGCAACACTCTGCTGCATGCTGTCATCAAAAAATGCCAGGTGTCTGTACAGGAGGTCGCCTTAGGTCTCCTCTAACAGAAAGCAAGTGTCTGTAACTGGGAATGTTGAGACCTAGGTAAGGAAGTAGAAACTAAGTCAATGTTAGGACATCACATAGGAAGTTGCCTTTGACAGCCTGCCAACCTAAATGCCAAAGCTTTTCTCCCATCTTTCACACTACTTGTCAAAAAGGTGCAGTATTCTGTCTACAAACAAGTAGATGCCTCTATGTTTTGACATTAAAGATAAGGAGGGGTTTTTTGGTTTTCTTTTTTTCCCAATTTTCTTCCAGGGTAAATGTCTCCTCCCCTCCTTTACTGAAGGATCCTGTGCTGAATGCCATTGGCAAAAAGTACAACAAGACAGCTGCACAGGTTGCTTTGCGTTTCAGCATCCAGCGAGGGGTGGTGGTCATCCCAAAAAGCTTCAATCCACAACGCATCAGAGAGAATTTCCAGGTAAATTCATACTCCCATGGTGCATGGGTGAATCCACTTACATTGGCTTAGCCCCTATAGAAGGTGATTGTCCCATTTCTTTCTGTAGACATAAGGCTTGACCAATGTCAAGCTTTACCACATTTGATGCTTTTTGTTCCCATCACTTAATGGTACCATGATATGACAATAATAGAGCAAAGTAGAGAGGAAATTTTGGTGTCTTTTAACACTCTGCAGTAGCTAAAGTTCCAGATGGTGGTGTACCCCAAAGCACCAGTTGCTGCAGTGAGCAGCACAAGCGAGATGAAGTAATTCAGTAGGTCAGCAGCCCAAGGTTGCTGGCTGTAGGTGTTCAGGAATGACTGACTTGTTCTGCCCAGTCTTCAGGTATGGGGCAGCTTTGTTAGGGAAGGGTTGCTGCATACAGGTGTGCCAGAAAGGCTCATAACCACACCACCAGAAAGCAGCTGGCTTGACCACCACACCCAAATAAGATGAAGAATTTGTTCCTGTGTCCCTTGCAGCTCTCAGTACCCACACTGCTCCCTGCTTTCCCTGCCAACGTATTGCTTTCAAAGCTGGTGGCCCAGTACTTGCCAGACTACCTTTCTCTTCTTGCAAAAGAGTGTAAGCAAATGTGACTGGACTTACTCATGTCCTCAAGACTTCCCTATAAATGCAAGCAAGTATGGATTTGTGGGGGTGACAGAGGGGAGGAGGGGGGATTGTACTTCTGAAATCTGGAACATATGAATGTTGATTATAACAAGAAATGCTAACTTATTCCTAACATCTCCCTCCATTAGATCTTTGACTTCTCCCTCACTGAGAAAGAGATGGAAGAAATCAAAGGCCTGAACAAAAACGTTCGTTATGTGGAACTGTTAATGTAAGTCCAGGAGGAATCCTAGATCCTCACAGAACATTCCTGTCTTTTCAGAGGATTTTTTTAAAAAATCACTTCCTTTTAATATTAATTTTTGTATAAACAACCTTATTTTAAGGTAAGGCTTAAATATGGGAGGTCTTTAATGCAGCCTGAATATGCTCCTGGACCCCTTGCAAAAATAAGTGTGCAATACTTGCTTACAGCTCAGATGTCAAAAGCCCACCTAGTAGAAAGTGACTGTATCTGGCTATTCCATCTCTGGTCCATCTCCTTAAACGCTTTCTGCTATATGTTGTAATGACAGTTTCAGCCACTCACAAGGAGTAGCATTGCCCCTGTCTAGCAGTGTGGCTATCGGAGCTGAAATTCAAATAGGAGCACTTTCTTGTCTTTCCCCTCCTTCCCACCTTCACTTCCAGTGCTCAGCAAGCCATGTTGCTGCTTGAGTACAATGGCTTATGGATTGTAAACCTAGTGTTTCCAGAGTCAACTTGTCCTAAATTGCCATGTGGAAGGCTAAGAATTAAGAACACTGTTACATGAAACCACAGAGCTAATTTAGGGAGAGCTCTGCTCCTTCTCGCTTAATACTTTGGTCAGAACATCAAAATTTGCCTACCCAACTTCCTCATAAAAGATGATACATCTCAGTGACCACAAGTGGTCAGAAACTTTGTTTTGGCCTTTCCTCTGATGCCATCTTCTTCAGCAATCTCCCCCTCCTGCTGTCATGTTGAGTTCCTTATATGGACCTTCTTATATGGAAAGCAGAAAAACATGCAGCTTGTTTGACTGCTAGACCACTTCCTAATTCTCTTCTGAGAACTAACAAGGCTTAATCTCTTGCTGCTTGTGATATAAAGCTTACGACCCAATGTAGTTTTGCTTCACCTGAAGGCTGCACTACCCCAGAAGGCTGAGACTGACCCAACATCTCCTCTTCCAGAGGATGAGGCTGTTTGTTTTTCCTTCAGCTCAAGAGCATCTACAGTTTATGGCCAAATGCTTTCCCCTTTTCAGGGCACTCAATGTGTAGCCAAATGCTAGAGATTCATTTCCATGCATCTCTCTTGTTACCTTGGATTATCTGTGTCTTGCCAAACCGTAGTGTGCTCAAGCACTAAAAATAACGAAAAGCAGGATAGCAGCATCAATAGCACTCTAAAATGTTGACCATTGCTCAAAAGATGGGGGGAATGTTGCAAAGGAACAAATAAACCACTTACTGTGCTGCATAAATATGATAGGAAATATGAACTAAGTTAAAAGCATCATAATGGAGTTCATCTTTCACATTTAAGCTCACCCAGGTGCTCTGAAGCTTTAGTTTCTTAAAACTTAAAATAGCCTTCCATCAATTAGCAGCACTTAGTTCCAGAAGGCTTCTCACAAATGGCCTAGCAGATTCTTACGTGTTTTGGTATTTGAAATTGTTTGGGTTTTCATAGCTAAGTTGAGATATGATTTAAACTTTTAGTGAGTATATACATGAAACGTAACCTTGGTGTAAATGCAAAAGCCTTTTCCAGAAGCAATGTTAAAGGATGCAAATGCCCACAGGAGAAGAACTTTCTAAGCCACCAATCCAAAAACTAATAAACTAAATGCTTTGCTTTATTAGACTAAATTTGGTCACAGGAGGCCACTGAGGACAAGGAAAACAGGATGCATAGGATGGACATTGCCAGCTCTGTTTTTCACAGGAGTGCCATGTTTGGGGAAAATGCTTAAATACAGTCTGACCTCAGCTGTGAAAAATGCCTTCTCGGAAAAGTGATGTTGCCATGTAAGGAGCAGCTAAACATATATCTGCCTACTATGTGTTCTCACACTGAAGTGTCTGGAATTGACACTGCAACAGATGAGTTAACAGCCTAAAGAGATTTCTTATTTCATCCAGCAATATGTATCTGAAAAAAGTCAAACCATCATACAGAAAGACTTCTGGTTAGTCAACTTTGTGCAAAACCTTCGACTGCTGTGATGCAAATGCCAGCAGGAATGGAAAAATCCAGCTTTCCTCTGGCTTTTCCAGTTATCAGCTACCATGGGTACTGTGTGCATATCTGTTGTTCTGATGGTGTGAGTAAGCCTATATGAACAGCATACTGCAATCAGTGCTAAAAGTTAAGCATCTGAGCAGAAAATGGAGGTTTTGTAAAAATATGAGTACTCCAGGAAATCTCAGTCTGAAATGGTTTCTTCTTCCCTTGGAGAAATCTAGAAATATTGTGCTGGGCAAGTTTTACATTGATCTGTCTGCTTGATTTATCTTGTGCTCCCAGTCTCTGCTATGGATATTCTTCCTTACCAGTTGTTCCAAGCTACATTGACTCCTCCGAGTGAATCATTTTCACTCAAAGGATGCAGACCTTTGAACATGCAAGATCTGATTAGCAAGCGTGCTCCATAGATGGAAAGTAGAGATTATGACACTGGCAACTCAGACATTGTCAAGTTATACTGAAACCAAACAAGCCAAAGTGTCGTGGCTTGTTTTTTTGAACCAACTCAATCTGTTAATGTGTAAACACTTCAGCTTGGCTGAATATTGGAATGAAATGTTTTGACACAACCAATCCAAAATGTTTGATGCCTTCCAGTTAGTTAACTTCAATATTGTGAAATGTATCATTCCCAAACTGGAACGATTCACAGCTGGGATAAATGCCAGTAGTTGTTGTCGTCTGCTGTAAGGCAAGGCAGCCAGCTGCCATGGTGCACCTGAGAGTGCTCTTCAGAAATTTGGGATTTTGCTAAGGGAAAGTGTTTGTCAAGCCAGGGCTTGTGGTTTAGCATCATCTTCTCAAACAAACAGGAAAACCCACAACAAAAAACAACCACCTCTCTCTCAAGTATGTCAATAACGGGCAAACACAGCATTATTTTTTCACCTGCAGTTGACCCTGAGAATTTTCTTCTTGCTTTTTATAATGATCATGGATCGTGCATCTTCCCTGAGGATGCAGTTTTTAAAATGAAGCCTGAAGCATCTCTACCTTTGGTAGTATGCAGCCATGAACATACCTTTCTCCCCTGAACTGGGTTACCCCAAAGAAGCTTTGGGGTAAATTCTCTGTCACTGGTGCTATTAACCTGGCAGAGCATCTACATCTAGGCTGAGCTAGAGGACAGCCAGACCTAGTCTGGATATGGCAGCCACTTGGAGAAAGTACCATACCAGACCCAGACCTGTTCATATCAGCTCTAAGTGCCTAAGCCAAAGTAGTACAGTCTGGTGTCTCCACCTCTCCTTCAAATATAGCCCTTATTTCTGAGGGTCTTTCTAGACAGCTGAACAAAGAAGTCTTCCCCTTCCACAATGCACGCATAGTGAAGCCATCCCCCTTCCCTACAACACTTCTACTAACCTGAGTTAAATCCACAAATATAGCAAGAATAGCTGACATCCAAACTCTTGTTGGTTTTTCCCATCTGTCTTTAAGGTATGCAGTCTGTAGGCCTGAAAAATGGTCCTTCGCTGTCCTTTCCTTAAATGCACAGGTTTGCTTCTGACTCTGCAGGGAAGATTATTCAGAGCAGACAGCTTCTGAATAAGCAGAAGAGCCTTCCATGAAGGCCACCTATATATTGCAAGGAGGAGAAGAGGTTTGCTAGGCACAGGACAACTGCATCAGTGATGTGATATCCTGCTTCACCTGAGAAGCTCATTTGTTCAATCTGACCTATCCACAGGTGGCGTGACCATCCAGAGTATCCCTTCAGCGATGAATACTGAAAACAAGGTGTGTCCGGGCAGGTTCCTAACTCGGTGCCGTTAGGCTTCGCTGAAAGTGACCCAACGTTTGGTGCTTTGACTTCATGGGAGATTGTTCAAATCGGCATTAAAAACATGACATTTACTTCCTCTTGTCTTGTCAGTCTCTTATTGCTACTGAAGAGCAAATCTATTTAACCTATTGAATTTCTGGGTTTGGCTTAGGAGGCTTTAACTCTGAGCATTGAAACTTCAAAACTGACAGGTGATAAAATTGAAGATTTCTCTTGAAAACAGGCTCACTAGTTCAAGCCAAATCATTTTCACTCAACGGCACATTTTTCACTGAATTTGAAACAAGAAGTTCTGCTTCAGTAGATGTGAAGCAGTATCATTTTTTTCACAGCTCAAGTGAAAGAAAGTTAGGAGTGGGGAACTAATTGGATTTGAGAGAGATATATGCGCATATGTATATTGATATATAGATAGATATAGATATATTCACTGCTTCATGCAGTGAAGCCTGTTTCACTCTGACCAGAGTATTCTTCAGCTGCATACATGAGCTGCATTCCGTAGGTACACCCCAGCTGGCTCCACATGCAACTAGTTCAAGCCCGAAAGCATTATAAGCATGTTCATATCCCCCCCACCTCAGCAAAACACAGAAGAGAGTATGACTCTATTGCACCTACATTTGAGCTGCTATACAAGGATGGTATTGCATATTGCATATGCAACCCGGAGCCATCCTGGAGCTAGCACTAGCGAGAGCCTCATCTCGTTAAAAATCCCTTAAACTTCTTTCCTGCTCCACAAACTGATATTCACCCAAGAAAATTTCTGTTCGCTTCAAAATTCTTAGTCTTTTGTATAAACTCCTGTCCAAGACAATACTGAATTAGGAAGCTAAGTTTTAAAGGAGGAGAAGGTCGTATTTTGTTAAATACCAGTTTCTACTGTGCTTTGAGACTGCAGAACACTGGCAGGTCCAAGAAAGGGTAGGAATCAGGCAGAAGCAGCCGGGCTGAAACCTGGACAATTCCTTCAATCTGTCCTCAGCTCTCTGAAACATGGGGGCAGAAGCATGGACACCAGAGTAAGGAAGACTAACTCCTTCAGCATTAATTTCTTTTTCAGACCACTTGTTTGCTCAACAAGTTTTGCAGCCTATAGGTGCGTCAGTCTATACCCACATGTGCAGAAGACTACTTTCCCTCCCTCCTGTGCCCAAGCACTCCAGTTTCCTGCCACAGAGGGGGTACACTAGAGAGGTATTGGAGAAGAAATTAAACATGCACAGAGAGAGTACTTCATGTACTAAAACATGCATACTGCCATTGGAAAATGGGTCCTACATAATATTCAGTCTATAGCATCTGCTTTTATTTATTACCATTGCTATTTATTATCCTTGGAGTGTCTGGAACAGGAAAACGCCAGAGTGTAGTGTTCATGGAGACACTTCTGTTGGGTCAGGGTGTGCTCCTCAGAGCTGAGGCACAGAGGTACAGGTGTGACCATTTCACAGGAGGAGCAGGCAAGGCTCTTGAATGGGTCGAGTGCCAGCGCATCCCTGGATGAGCTCAGTGGGCACCACTAGAGAAGTCAGGCTCCTTCACTGTGGGTGGCCTTCACACAGCATTTATAAATCCATTTATAAAGCTGTGTCAACAGAGGAGCATTCTGCTTGCTGGAGGTTACCCAAGGGCAATTCCCATTTTAGTCTATTACCCACTTAGACCAGAGGGGGAAATAAAAAAGGTGGGGGAGGTATAGCTGAGGAGGAAGATGACACATTAGAAATCTGCCGGTGTAGATCTAAGACAGTCCCAAGGTCAGGTGGAGCTCTGCTCCCACGGGTCGTCAGAACCACTATCACAGCCCTGCTTTGCCCCTTTGCGAACAGCTGAGGTCCTGGCCAAAAACCGGAACAAAATCCAAGTCTAAATTCAAGTGCAAGAGAGGAACACAGTTACCACCATACCCAACATGTTACTCCAGTTGCTTCATAAGTACAAGCCTTAAATAGAGCTATTGGGGCTCAACTGCTTAACAGTAGCACTGTACAAATTTTTGCACTGTAACTTGACCAGGTGCAGGTCTCTGGCCGTGGCCAACATTCAGGACGGTTTTGGCAAAGCTCTTGTTTTCTACACTGCAAATGTCAACTAACGCTCAGCTTAAATGCTTACACCGACCCCTTCACAGCTATCTGCTCTTTCCAGACATCCCCCCTGAGGTTCTAATAAATCAGGTGACCTTGTATGTGTGAGTAAGGAAGACGATGTGCTGAAGCCTCTCTAACAGGAAATACCCTATAATCAAGTCTTCAATCTGTACTGAGTTAATAGGCAGGACAGATTGAGTGTTCCCCTCCAGCCGAAGTCATGCCAGCAAATCCCTTCCCCCCCCCCCCCCCCCCCACCACACTCACATTCAC